TACATGCCAGCAGATTTCTGGCTTTCTGAACTTTTGACGTACGCTCGATTCTTTGCCACAAAAGCTTCTGGGACTGAACTGCACCATTAGCTAAATATGAGCTCAAAGGATGGCAACCTTGATAATTTTACATAAGCCAGAACACAAGCCCTGCTTCTCTTTGGTGATCAACATTCTTTGCACGCTCATGGATGAAGTGAAAAGAGCAGAGAGGAAATGGCACACAACCATAGCTTGGTTTCATCTCCATTCCTTTCCCAACACATCATTTTCAACGTAGGAAAATATACTGTGAGTTAAGGCAACCCAGACAGCCCAAGGACATCAGCCTGACGGCCCTTCAGGAGGTTCCTCATCATGTCCAGGCCTTGCACACTCAAAGCTTATTTTTCTGAATCCTCTCCACCTCCAAGTGCTCTTCTCCAAATGTGTTTGCCATCAGTAAATGAGCAGCTAAAACTGAGTTAAAATAACTACTGTGGGTTTTTCAAGGCTGAAGCATTTCTATCCTGGAGATTCTTTCTACCATCTTCTATACTCAAGCTGTGCTTTAAGATAAAATTTTTGGGAGGCACAAGTCCAGTTCTCTCCAAACCAGAAAGTTCAGGGTTTGTATTTAGAGTACTCAAGCCCAGCAGTGACTGTGTTGGAAGTTTTATTGTGCTCTGACAGATCCCTCCCACTCAGCACGAGAAGCAAAGATCCAGACAATTAGGGCATGAAGAGAACTGCAGATCTATAGTGTCAGCTCTTAGCTCCACCCTCTTTCCCAAAGAACTTCTTTATGGAACACTCTCCTTCTGTCCTTTGATAACAAGAATCTACACAGAATTGATCTCCCATCCCTCCAAAACACCACACATTTAGAAGGAAATAAAATGAAAGCTATGTAAAGGCTGGGATTGCAATCCTGGTTAACCTTCTCACAGTCAGCCTGGCAAAAGTTCACAGAGGAACATGTTTGGTTTTCACATGGAATTCAGGAGGTGAATGTTCTTGTTCTGTTGGGTTAGTGACTCATAAGCAGCTCAGCCCTTCAGCAGGCACGTTAGCAGGGAAGAGGTGACCGTGCATGAGATCCTGTGCGTGAGCTCTTGGAGTGAAACAAACAGTAAAAGGTGACTGTAAATTCTACATTACTTACATGTGAGATAATTACAGCTGAGATAATTTCTGCAAGCTGCTCTAAGTATAAGCCACTGTGTGCCCAGGTGGCCAAGAAGGCCACCAGTATCCTGGCCTGGAACAGCACTAGTGGGGCCAGTTGGAGCAGGTCAGGGAT